GATGATACAATACTTATCATACACAATTAATAAAATCTTAGAGAGCCTATGACTTAAAACAGATATTCAAAGGTGTAAGGTTCAAAGTCTGATCTTATGACAAACTAAGATACTGCTTTTCAATATTTAAGTTCAAAGATTCATTTCCAAAAGATTAAGTTAAAAAATTGATTATTCTTATAGAGTTACTACTGTATGTTATTGTTACTGTCACTTATAAATTAATTAAGAGTGGTTTTTTTGTGATTAATGCCTCCATGCGTTGTAGTGATCACATGAAAACCACACACTACAAAACCTTTAGGAAACATAGTCAAGTATTGTATATGTAGAGAGAGAAATGCTGAATTACTGGTACCCTTACAGCCAGAGTAAGTTCTTGGGTGCAAAGGGTCTAATTTGATAGAAATTTCTAAAAATCAAAATGCCAAGATTAGAGACTGTGGTTGTGGAAGAGAATAAGGGGTTTTTAAAAACTCTGGGAGTTTGAAATAACATCAGCACAGAATATGTCCTGGGCCAAAGAAGATGAGTTGGTTTTAGCCAGCTGGGTGGTTCTCTGTCTGCAAAGAAGGGATAAGTCAACAGAAAAGGTGGGGCAGAGTGCCACCACTCAGCTCATGGGCACTTAGGAAAATGGAGAGTCAGGGATGAAAGTTGGCAGACAGTATCAGTGTAGGGAAACACCATGGTTGGTGTAAAGTCTACCTCCACTCTGAAGAGCTGAAGTCTGTTTAGGACATAGTCCAATGCACTGGGGAAGCCATCCCCAGACAGTGCCTAGAAACGCCATCTTCATGACACTGGTCTAATTCCATGTCCAGCCACAGCCTCCTGATGCTTTTATTCAGCCTCCCAAGGACATTAACCCCAGGAAACAGGATAACTAGCATAAAGGATACCAATACCAGGNCTGGTGTAGGAATTAACCCAGGTCTGTCTGATTAACTGCACAGCCCTTGGTCTTTTTGTTACCTGAAGCTGTCTTCAAAACAGCCTCCTATTAATGTACCCATACCTTAACCATATCTCCTCATCACTTTGCCCTCAGGAAAATACCATCCACTGGCAAGTTGGTGCTGACCCTCACAACCAATGCATGTGAGGGGAAGGAGAATTTCGTCCGCTACCTCGAGCATGTCCAAGCTGTTATCACAGTCAATGCAACCAGGAGAGGAGACCTGAACATCAACATGACTTCCCCTATGGGCACCAAGTCCATTTTGCTGAGCCGGCGTCCAAGGGATGATGACTCAAAGGTGGGCTTTGACAAGTGGCCTTTCATGACCACCCACACTTGGGGGGAAGATGCCCGAGGAACCTGGACCCTGGAGCTGGGGTTTGTGGGGAGCGCACCCCAGAAGGGCATGCTGAAGGAGTGGACACTGATGCTGCATGGCACACAGAGCGCCCCTTACATTGACCAGGTTGTGAGAGATTACCAGTCCAAGCTGGCCATGTCCAAGAAGGAGGAGCTGGAGGAAGAGCTGGATGAAGCTGTGGAGAGAAGCCTGAAAAGTATCCTGCACAAGAACTAGCGTTGCACCCTGGCCTCCACCACCTCTCTCCCTCCCCCATCTCTGCCTCTCTGTCTTCGCTCCACACTGTCAGGCACCTAGCAATTACTGTCACTCCCACACAAGCGATTCCAACTTCTTGATCTGAAGCTTCACTCACTGTCAATGATTATTTTCATTACAATGGAAGCAATCTTTTTTATTCTATGCCCCAAATACAGTGTTCCCACCAACACCTATGTTCTATTTGTGACTAAGTTCTTTATTTGTGTCATTCAAATAGGTGATATCCTGCAAACAAAACTGGGACAACTTTCCCCCCAATTTTTTTTATATCTGGGAAGAGAAGAGAATGCTTTTAAAAAGCTACGTGCAATGACTCCCAAGAACATTTATTCATGGTCTCAACTGAGAACCTGTTACATAAAAAGAAAATCAAAGATTATGGCCAAGGGTGAGCTCTGAATCTCTTAAAGCACAGGAGATGCTGCAAATGCTTTGGGGAAAGATGGTTTGAACTTAGCAAGATTTTTCAGTGACGTAGATGAAGATGGCGTGATTCGAAAGGTGCCATCCACGAGAGCCCTAATTACTGGAGGGGGAAGAAAGAGTCAAAAAGCATAAGCATTGAAAATCTTACCACCAACATCATAACTCATTCTACTCAGCCAGCATGACAAATATAAAATCTAAGTAGATTGGCTGTCCTTTCACCAGCGGCTGCTCTAAGTTATGGTAAAACCTGCTAGAGAAGCCCAAATTACTCTAGGTTTGTATAGAGTTCACCTCAGCCCCAATTTTCTGGGGTTTCTCACATAGTTGTACAAAAGGAAAGAATGCAAGGCAGGTCTGGCAACACATTGTAGTATTTTTTAACCCAGGAACATTCTTTTTTCCTATGTCATTTTGGGGCTTCTTAATCTGATGTAAGCAGGAAGGCAAGGTGAGTCTTTTGACAGTTTTCCACACATGAACTTGGGCTTTGATTTCTAAAACATATGATTAGAGGGCAATATCATAGTCCGTCATGTTGTGATTTCTTTGATGTGTTAGGGAAATGGCCTCTGTTCTGGCAGAGGTGTGTGAAGGGTGAAGGGGGTGTGTCTGAAGATGTGAGCTGCCATCTTCACAAGGACTTCCTTTTGTATGGAGCTTTTCTGTCGACGTGGGGAATGCCAACTCATGCCCAGTAACTTGAGGCCTGAAGGAAGCAAGAGGGAACCTCAGTGGGGAAAGCACACAGTTAACATCTTGGCAACTAAGCAATTCATGAGGACGTTTAACATGCAGCCCAAAGCTAATAACATTCATTTTCCCTATCAATCCCCAAAGACACCACACCATTTCATCACCAAATAGAAGTGCTTTCTGACCTGCTGTCACTTTGTTTTCCTACTTATTGGCTCTTCATCCCCCATTCCAATGCCCACTCATTCCCAAGAAATGATTTGTTTGTTTGACTTGATTCCCAAGCACTGATCAACCATTTCTGGCTACATTTCTCTCTTCCCCTGGGAGAACATAATTAAGCCTGGAGTTCCTTTCTTGAAGCCAGCAACAACAGAGCACTAGGTTCCATTCCCCGAAGATGGCAACTTTAGATGAAAAGTCTGGAAAATCCATTTTCTTTCTTTTTTCCCCACGTTGGAATAAATTTCTGTCTTCTCTAACACCATATGACCTTCTCTATATAATGCTTTAAAATGTAATAATATTTATAATTTTTAAAAGAAATTTATTACTTGTTGCGAAGGTCTTTTTAAACCAGTTTAGATTTAAAGAAAAAAATAAATGCAAATCATCAAAAATTCATTTCACATTAACCGTCTGAAAATAAACCAAAGGACATTATGTGTGCATGTGTGTATAAGTGCACACAGAAATATATATACATATGTAGACTATATACATGTGTGTATATATGTGTGTATATATATATATATATATACACACACACACTTGTATAAATGTATATATACACATTTACCTAAAATGTGTGTATGTGTATTTATTGAAGAAACAGATACCATATTAATCTCTAAAAGACTATTCAGAGAATATCAAGATGATTCTGGCTGAAGAAAAAGGCCAGTGGAAATTCAGGTGAAAATGTTCATTGATTCCCATTGCATCACCTCTGTAATTTTGCAGCTCTCTGTGTAAACATTAAATGTCTTCTATAGCAGCAAAAATATAAAATAGTTGTCCATATTTTCACAACTGTGGTAATTTATGAAATTAGGGAGTAACTTATCAGCTTCTTAATAGAAATGGCAAGTTTTGATATGAGTATACAGTATATAAAAGTATATATAGTGCTATATAAAAATATTTTATCTTTATCTCATTTTTTGCACCAGCATTGACACTAAAATATGTCTAGTTAGTGAGGTTTTTATGATACCCCTGATCTTAATGCAAGAGACAGTTATTTATAGTCATTTATTTTAAAAGTTGAAAATAAGTAAGTAATGATTCATCAGGTTAACACTGTTACTCTCTATGACAAAATTTTATAAATAAGTTTAAAAAGACGTGTTGTAAATTAGGAGACTCAACAATAAAGCATTACCTTCCAGAAATTATGTGGGATGTGATATGTATTACATAAAAAATCTTCCATCCATTCTAGGAGCAAATAAAAAGTTGCCAAAGAGAGATCTAAAAAGCCTGCTGTCATAAATATGCATGAAAGTTTATAATTAGCTAATAAATCACACACAAATTATGACTTACAACAGCATTTTCCAAGCTCAGGTTCCATCTCAGTAGTGGGTCACAAAATAAATTTAGGGAGGCAAGACCAGCATTTTGGAATAGGACAGAATAGGACAGATCATGCGTATTAACGGTAAGTATTGTTTCCTGAAATATTTTTTTCAGGGGTGTGTGTGTGAGAGAGAGAGAGCATATATATTGGTTCACAATGTAAAATATGTTTCTTATTGTGGGTCATGGTCAAAATCTTTTAGAACCACTTCTTCTAGACTATATTCATCAGGCCAGACTCAGTTATACTGTAGTAACAAATAGCCCCAAAATCTCAGTGGTTTAACTCACAAAGGCTTATTTTTCATTCACACTGAGGGTTCAGGTGATGCCCCAAGGCCACAGACCTCGATGCAGTGACTCAGGGATTCAGGCTACTTCTATCTTCAATCGTATGGTTTGCAATTATAATACAAGGCAGCTACAATCCATGCAGGAGAAGAGAACCCATGGAGGACTCTCACCTACTCTTTTATGTTCAGACTGAAGAGACACATGTCACTTGACCTACAGTGGATAGGCCAGTACTGGTCAATAACCCTGCCTAAATGTGAAGCAACTGGAAAATGTAGGACAACTAATAGAATGATTGATAAGCATTGCAGTCCCTCCCACAGAAAGAGCTTGATGTTCCCTTAAAACTCATTCTTTTTTTTTTAAAGATTTTATTGGGGAATGGGGGGAGGGGAACAGCGCTGGGGAACTGGGGTAAGGGGAACAGACAAGTTGCTGTTGTTTTGTTCTTCAGTCTAGTTGTGGAGGAC